GTTCCTAAAATTTTATCAAAATGCATTTTTGTTCCTGCCTCATTTCAGGTTTTAAAACCTATTGTTGTACTTGGAACAAATTTTAAGTCGCTTGGCATATTCAAAACATTTTTTGCAGAACCATGATGACAACTGCATTATTTTCAAGAGATCTCGCACATCCTATTGGCTTTACAGAATCACCCGTTCTATCTCTATTCGTGTTGGATACCATGTATCTGACAAACACACTTGGATCACTCTACCTTGATCTTTAATCGTCCCTCCCGACTATACTGATGTGACTGACATAGAATAGCTTGTCTTTGGTAAATGCTCATAAAGGAATATACAAATTGATCTTAAATAGAAGTCGTAAAAGAGCTCTTCGTTTCCCCCACAGTGGAATCCATCTTGTTTTGGTTATTATACCCATTCCTTTTAATGAGGAATTGGGGTGTGTTGGAAGTCATAGTTGGTAACAATGATCGACAATGTGAATAGTGCCATGCAAAAGATAACTGGGAACCCATACAAGACATTTTTTTTATCTCCAATTGTATACTTCTCATAGATATCAAATGGTAGATAAGAGTGATGCTAAATCTTGATTTAGTTTATATCTCTATACAGTATTAAGTTGTATTTGAACACTCAGCCTTATCTTTGCCTTCTTCTTCTATAATAAATGAACGGAGCTACTCAATCATATCAATGTGGTTTATAAGGAAGAAAATGACATTGATTTCAGTTAAAAACATCTCCCAACAATTCCAAAAGCATAATTTATATATATAATCAATATTTATGTTCTTTGTTATAATTTATTCATAATTTGAGGAAATTGTACATGCATTTAAGAAAAGGAAAGAATAGATGAAAAGGAATATCCATTAGAAAAAAAAAAGAGAAAGGAAAGAAAACTTAAATATCCAAAAGGAATCTTCTGGGATCTTCAACAAGTTCCTTTACTCTAACCAAGAAAGTAACGGCTTCACGACCATCAACAAGTCTATGATCATAAGTAAGAGCAATGTACATCATTGGACGGATTTCAACCTATTTCAATAAATTAATATCAAACTGTAGATTCTCACTTTTTACATATATTACACACCTTTCCATCAACAGCAATGGGTCTATCCTTAATACCGTGCATACCCAAAATAGCAGTCTGAGGCAAGTTGATAATGGGAGTACCCATCAAAGAACCAAAGACACCACCATTGGAAATGGTAAAGGTACCACCAGCCATATCTTCAATGGTGATCTTATTGTCACGAGCCTATATATACACACAGACATATTTAATCACCCCGCAAAAATAAAGCACTCTTCTTTTTTGTACTTTACCTTTTTACCAAGTGCAGCGATATTCTTTTCAATATCAATGAAGTTCATATCTTCGACGTTTCTCAATACAGGTGTCACCAAACCCTTGGGAGTAGAAACAGCAACACTCACATCAACAAAGTCATGGTACACAATCTCGTTACCGTCAATAGAGGCATTGACAGCAGGAATCTCTTCAAGTGCCTTGGAGGCAGCCTTGACGAAAGCGGACATGAAACCAAACTTGACATCGTGTTTCTTTAAAACGGCATCCTTATATTCAGAACGGAGTTTCATCAAATTGGTCATATCAATTTCGTTGAATGTGGTCAAGGAGGCAGCGGTTTCTTGGGACTGCTTTAAACGTTCTGCGATTCTAAGACGCATACGGTTCATCTTGACACGACTTTCTGATCGGTTACCATAGACTTTTTCTTCATTAGCAGCGGAAGCAGCGGGTGCTGATTGCTGTTCCTTCTTGGGTTCCTCCTTCTTGGGCTCCTCCTTCTTGGGCTCCTCCTTCTTAGGTGCCTCTTGTTGTGTGATTTGTTCTTTAGGTTCTTCCTTTGTTTCCTTTTTAGCAGGAGCAGCACCTGATGATCATTTATATAAAAAGGGTGAATACACATCATCCTACATGATATATATCGAATAACACATTACCTTCCTTGGGAGCATCACCGAGCTCTAATTTGAAAAAGTCGGCACCAACAGAGACATTATCCTCTTCGTTGGCGTACACCTCAGTAATAGTGCCAGATGCAGGGGAATTGACAGTGACGTCAATCTTGTCTGTTTCGATGGTAGCAACTTCTTCGTCCTGTTGAACGAAATCACCCACCTCTGGTTTTACAATTTTATATTAAAATCATGATGAAATCAAAGAAAGCATCCAAACTTACGTTTGACCCACTGTTTTAAAGTTCCTTCGGAGATAGATTCAGCCATTTGAGGTACTTTAACGACCTTATCGGCTACAGTATAAGCAAAATATTAACAATAAAATCCTTTCTGTTATTCAGCTGATCATTACCATATGTTCTAATTTGTTGTGCAAAGATGCCATTATGACCATTCAACTGACTATTTATACAGATTCACGTTTTGGCACTGATTAGCCACCACCACAAGTGGAGTGTAACACTACAACATACCTTGAACGCTGGTAACCGACTGTATATAAGGCAGCAGGTACTTGGACATGTAAGTTTCTGACCTGAGAGATGTTGCGTACTGCTGCAGAACGGGTCAAACGAAGTGCGATAGGTGAAACTCTAGAGTATTGCATAATAATAATATAATATAAGAAGAAGAAAAGACTTGAGAAAGAGAAAAAAGACAAGTTTTATGAAGCGGGGAAGTTAAATAAGTGGGGAAAAAGTCATTAATGGTCGGGTTGTGGCGGAACAAGAAAAATTTCAGAAAGAGTAAACCGGGAGAAATTTTAATCGACCAAATGACGGAACTCAAAAGTAAGTGATGTCAATGGAGTCATCCGACGATGCCCGTAGAATAAAGAGAAAGCTACTGACTTGAAGAGAGCCTTGTTTGATCTATAAATGGTATTTTTTGTTTTTGAGTGCATCCGCTTTCTTTCATCATTCAAAACGTGTTGGTTGTTTTTTATTTCATCTTTTTACCTTCTTTATTTCACTTCGTTTTATTGTAAAAAAAAAAACAGGTTTTCGGAAAGAACCGACTCTCAAAACCCGGTACAACCCGTTTTTTATTTATTTTTTCCACTCAAAAACAGTATCTCGATTATAGCATCTTAACTCTCGCCAATAGTCAACGAAAGTATCACTATTCTGTACAACTTATGTAACTAGTCTTATGAAATTATACGATGATCTAACAACTAAGTGACGGAAAATATAACATAAAAGTAAATAAATTACTAATGATATTTTTCCATAAAGATAAGGTACTTCTTATTTTGTTCTTTTATAATTTATTTCGCTTTCTCTCTGTAGACGTAATAT